ATTTTACAGTCTTGGCTTTTAGGAAAATATTACATTTATCTGTGTATATCAAGGGCTTCGTGTCTGCAATTAATAAAACATAACTGGACACTAAGATGAAAAATAATTTGTTATTAACTGCCAGGTGGCTAGATCTGTTACACTCGGGCCTATAGGGCCTCGAACTTCTGACCAGGCCTACACGGTCTGCAACACATTACCATCGAGTTGATTCTGACTCATGGTGACCCCATGTGTGTCAGAGTGGAATTGAACCCCTATAATGTTCTTGGCTATAATCTTTACACAAGCAGACCACCAGGTCTTTCTCCTGCAACACTGCTGGGTGAGTTCAAACTACCCATCTTTTGGTTAGTAGATGCACCATTTAGGGCTCTTAATAGCTAATTGTATGGTGCTCTGGTACCATAGTGGTTAGGAGTCGGGCTGCTAATCTCAGTAAGCAGTTCGAAACTACCAGAAATTTGGCAGGAGAAAGATGCGGCGTTCTGCTCCAGTAAGTTTATAGCCTCAGAAATCCTCCCTATACAGGGTCTCTTTGAGAACTAAACCAAAACCCGCTGCCATTGAGTTCATTCTGATGCATAGTGACCCAACAGGACAGAGTAGAACTGCTCCTTAACAGTTTCTAAAGCTATAAATCTATACAGGAGCACACAGCCTTATCTTAGTCCTATAAAGCGACAGATGGGTTTGAACCACTGAGCTTGTCATTAGCACTCCAGTGCTCAGCCCACTGGATCACCAGGTTTTGTTTGTACAGTTTGTTTGTACAGTTTGTTGTACAGTTCTGACTCATAGTGACCCTGTATAGGGTTTCCAAGGAGCAGCTGGTAGGTTTGAACTGCCGACCTTGTGATTCGCAGTCCAGTGCTAATCCTACAAAGAGCCACACCAGGAGTCCCTAATAGATAGCTAGCATTATAAAAATGTAACCACTGCCGTCAAGGTGATCCTGATGCATAGTGACCCTATTGTTTGTCAAGTGCTATCAAGTTGGTTCCTACTCATAGTGACCCTGTATGGTGTTTCCAAGGAGTGGCTGGTGAGTTTGAAGCACTGACCTTACAGTTCAAACTGACCTTGAGGTCCAATGCTTATCCTTGGCGTCACACCAGGATTCTAGCCATAGCGACCCTATAGGACAGAGTAAAACTCTACTCCGTTGGGTTTCCAAGACTGTGCATCTTTATAGGAGTAGACAGCCTCATCCTTCTCCTGTGGAGTAAGTAGCTGGTGGGTTTGAACTGCCAACCTTGCAATTAGCAGCCCAGTGCTTAACCCACTATGCCACCAATGAAATCTGTTGTCTATTAATCTTAATACAGCGGCATAGTAATTTTCACTTTGAAAACCACCTTGAAAGGTTGGGAAATGTTGCAAGAAGTAGCACTCTGGCACACTCTATAACGAGTTTCCCTTCTTCCCCTTTCTGCTACCAGGTTTGTCACGCTGTTCACAGATGACTTGGACCATATTTCCCAGTGGAGCTCCATCATGGCTGGGAGTCTTGCAGGCATGGTATCCACCATTGTGACATACCCTACCGACCTCATCAAAACCCGCTTGATCATGCAGAACATGATGAAACCTTCTTACAAGGGCTTCTTCCATGCTTTTTCTACTATCCATCAGCAGGAAGGGTTCCTGGCCCTTTATCGAGGGGTTTCCCTTACTGTTTTAGGTAAGTTGAAACTTCTCACCTTGTCTAAGAAATGGCTGTGTGTTCTTTGCTAGACATGAACGTACAGTATACCTTTGTGACCAGTTACATCTGTTTTACTGAGGTCGAGGTTGTATGGATTCAGTCGATACAGAGCCAATTGGCTTCATTCGCTTGCATCACCGTATACCTCACTCCAAACTGTGGCCAATCACAACCCAGAGAGTGGAGGTGGCTTAGCACAATCTGGTAGGAAAATGAACCTAAACACTCCCTATCTGATGGCAGCAAGAAGTCTTCACTGTATGTCGGTGTGTGTGTGTGTCCATGTGTCCCTTTCCCAGGCTATATGCACACAGGTCACCAGGGAAATGTCACATCCAGTAGACATTCAGCCACTTGACCTTTGTTGCAGCAGTTGATAAAATGAATCACCCCTTCTTATGGAAGCTTGACATGCAGCAATTCTTTTTCATCTAACTCCTAGGTAGCCTCATTTAACCTCATGGCTTAAACAAGCATCAGTATACTCTGATGACTCCCAATTGCTCTCTCTCTACATATACTGACAGTTACTAATATTGATTGGGGAGTCCTGGTTGGCACTGTAGGTTAAGCACTGAACTACTAACCACAAGGTTGGTAGTTCAAACACACCAGCTTCTCCTCAGAAACACTATACAGATTCACTGTGAGTCGGAACCAACTTGACGGCATTAACAGCACCAATCCTGGTGTGGTGCGGTGGGTTAATGCACTGCCAGACTACGACGCCATTTGAACTGCAAGGTCAGTAGTTCAAGCTCACCAGCTGCTCCTCAGAAACCCTATACAGGGTCGCTATAGGTTGAAACCGACTCAATGGCACTTAACACCACCACCACTATGTGCCAGCTACTTTACTAAAAGTTTTGTATATGGTCTCATTTAAGCCTCATTGAAGATGAAGAAATAGAAGCTTAGGGATGTTAATTGACTTGTCCAAGGTCACAGAGTTAGAGTGGAAGGATCTAGCTATATAACTCCATAGCCCTGCCATTCAAACATTCACTTATACCACTTTCCAACAGCAGTCTGAAGATATATCTGCTGTCGGAGACCTGCTGTGGCACCGCAGGATACACACTTTCATTACCAGTTGCCATGGTGTCCCCACGTGTGTTAGAGTACAACTCTGTTCCATAAGTAGGCTTTTCAATGGCTGATTTTTTAGAAGCAGATCACCAGGCCTTTCTTTTGAGGTGACCCTGAATAGAATCAAACCTCCAACCTTTTGGTTATAGAGTGTGACAGAGTGCACATTAACCATGTGCACCACCCAGGCTCAAATTCCAGACTAAACCTGATGTCCTTGTCTGTCTCGAACCTGGTCTTCCTCCTGAATTCCTTAGTGAGCCATACTACCTTCCTTTCAGCCAGCGGCTCAAGCCAGAAGAAACCTAGGAATCGCTTCAACTGCTCCCACTCCATTCCCACTGCAGATGTCTCCAAGTCCTTTTGACCTCTTAGTTTGTAAGTTCATCTACACTTCTCCATCCCCATCCACTCTGCCGTGAGTCATGTGCTCTCATCATCTTTCTTTCACTCTTGCGAGAGACTCCTACTTGGTCCCAATCTTGGGTCGCCCCTGCTCCAGTCCTCCCTGTGCACAGCCACCAGCATGAGATGTTCTTTCTAAATGCAGTTTGGCTGCTTCACCATACTCCTGCCATTGTTCCTCTGAGCCAGAAGGGAAATCCCAAATCCCTCATGGCAGAGCAGATGCCTCTGACCTGGCACCTGCTAACCTATTCTACCTTGTTGCCTGTCATGTCTTTACATACACACAGGCTCCAGACAGACAGAAATACTTGGCATTTCCTGGAAGTATGAGGGGGCTTCAAAAAGTTTGTGGAGAAAAAAAATGGAATTCAAAGACCATGGATTTTTTCCACCGACTTTTTCAAGCCCCTTGGTACCACCGCCTTCCATAACCATACACCTTGGTAACATACTGTTTCCTCTGCCAGGAATGCCTTTCCATTCTCTTGGTATCTAATGAACTCCGACTCAACTTTCAAAATCAAGTTCAAAAGCTCTCCTGTGAAGTCCTTCCTGATTCTCCCGGCAAATTAATCTCCCTCAAGGAGCTCTGGTAGCGTAGTGGTTACAAATTGGGCTGCTAACCTCACAGTCAGCAGTTTGAAACTACCAGCTGTTTCACGGGAGAAAGGTGAGGCTTTCTGCTCCTGTAAAGATTTATAGCTTCAGAAATCCTGTACAGGGTCCCTATGAGTCGGAACCGATTCCACGGCACATAACAGCAACCACAAGCACTTTGTACCACCTCCTATTGTAGCACATATTGTAGATGCTAGATTTTGAGGACAGCAATTAGCCTTTGGATCCCTAGTACCTAGCATAGCAGAATCCACAAGTATTTTCTGAGTGAAAGGCAATGGGGGAGGGGCGGGTGGGAGAAGGGGTTTGGAGAGTCGTTCTTAATAACAACAACCCATTGCAGTCGAGTAGAGCTAAAGATCAGAGTAGAGCTAGCTGTTCCTTAGGGTTTCCGGAATGAAATCTTTACTGGAGCAGACAACCGCCTCTTTCCCCTGAGGAGCGGCTGGTGGGTTTGAACCACTAACTTTGTAGTTAGCAGCCCAGCACATAACCCACCATGCCATGAGGGCTCTTTATTTTTTAATGTATGTTTATTAAATAAATATTACCTTTTTCTAAAGTGCAGCAGCCCGCTTGTGTCACCCCCTCTTTTACACCTCATTGTAAAGGAGAAATCAAGTCCCTCCAGCAACTTAAGATGGTCCCAGAGTTTCTGAAAGTTTGTGTGAAAGTGCCACCTACTGCACTCCTTAGTTCACCATCTTGTCTTAGAAAGGTGATGATACCACACGGTAGGAGCCACTGAGCCCTGATTCGGCCATGTCATTGCCTAAGGTCTGGTCAGCTGACCTCCCTCCCTACCCAGCCTTCTCAGATAGTGATCACACCCTCCCAGTCTCCAAAGCTTGATTAGGTGCTGCCCACTGTGTTTGGGGGGTTTGTTTGGATATGTGAGAGTGATTTTTTTCAACGTTTAAAAATAATTTCAAACATCCAGAAAAGTTGAAAAAAATTAGTCAATACCCATATATACCCACCACCTGGATCCTACAATTACCATTTAGCAACATTTGCTTCATCACACATCCCTTTGTTCTTTTCTCTAGCCATGGATTGTTGCAGTTAGCTGCCATCGAGTCAGCCCCAACTCATGGCGACCCCCATGTACAACGAAATACAACCCTCCCTGGCCCTGAGCCATCTGCATGATGGGCTGCAGATCAGACCTCTGTGCTCCATAGGGTTTCCATTGGCTGCTTTTGGGAAGTAGGTTGCCAGGCCTTTCTTCCTTATCTTAGTCTGGAAGTTCTGCTGAAACCTGTTCAGCATCACAGCAATAAGCAAGCCTCCCCTGACAGATGGATGGTGGCTATGCATGCAATGGCACCCAGGTCTCCCACATGGAAAGCAAGATTCCCTCCTGAAACACCAGTGGCCCAGCAGTCCAGTAGCTCATTTTGTCTGTTTGATGCTTTCAGTGTAAGCTGGAAACATCAGTACACTTTACCTCTTAACCCTTTAACACGTGTATCATCAGCTAGATTGTAATATTTGTGGATGGTCATTATTTTTTTTTGCAAGTAAAAAAACTTACATACTGTACAACGCACAGATTTTTAGGGAACTCTCAGAAGCATCCTGACAAATGACTCAAACCCCATCAATATTAAGACCATTATCATCAGCCAAGAAAGTCCCCTCGTGTCCTTTGGGTTGGAGTGAGTTAGGAAGCCCATGGCCCCTCCTGGATTCTCCACATACTTGTATGTGCTCCAGATCTGGGCAGCCTCTCCCTGGCTTTCTTTTGCAGGTGCCTTTCCATATTCTGCTGGCTCCCTTCTCGTTTACATGAACCTCGAGAAAATCTGGAATGGCCCCCAGAATCAGTTCTCTACCCTCCAGAACTTTGCCAACGTCTGTCTGGCTGCTGCTGTGACCCAGACGCTCTCCTTTCCCTTCGATATGGTGAAGAGAAAGATGCAGGTGAGGAGCTGGGGAGTGGGGCAGGGGCAGACTTGAAGAGTTGATGAGTGGCAGCAAGCACAAAGGACGCTGACCCTGAATGATACTAGGTTTCCAAGGAGATCAGGACTATGCCTACAAATGCCATAGAAACCCCACTCCACAGTTTCTGTTGCTAACCTCAGGCCTCTTGGCTGGAACCCACACTGCCCCTCCACCCCTCGTGCTGTCCTCTGTCTTTAAGGAAAGCCTCCAGGTGAGACCTGCTGTTGTTTCCTCTCCCCTTTGTGGCTGCCACCACCCATCACGTTACACTTGGCTCTCCTTCCTCCTAGAGCAGCTGGAAGTAGAATGCCACCACCTTGTTCTCATCCCCCTTGCTCTCTTCAGCCTTGTGATCTGGTCCCATAATTTTTTTGTTGTTGTTCTCAAAGAACATACACCGCTGTCAAGTTCATTCCAATTCATAGTGACCCTGTAGGACATCAAAACAACCCCAGAGGGTTTCTAAGAACTTGAACCTTTACATAAGCAGATCACCACATCTTTCTCCCATGGAGCAGCCAGTGGGTTTGAACCCTGAGCATTCAGTTAGCAGCCAAGTGCTTAACCACTGGGCTTAATCACAGGGTTCCTTATAAATATTACAGCCCAGGAAACCCTCTGGGGCAGTTCTGTGCTGTCATATAGGTTTGCTATGAGTCATAATTGATTCAATGACCTAAAACAACAACAATAGGTTATTCCTACTGAAGAAATACCTGGCATTGGAATTGAGCCACCATTCGCGTGGGATTGGGCATGCGTTCCTCTAATCATTCCCTCGGCTTTTTCTCTACACACCATAGAGACAAAAGCCTCAGCTATTGATTATACCTAATTTGACTGTTCCACTCACTCAACCTCTTCATCTGCATGTGCTGTGTTTTTTTCTGACCCTTGTCCAAACTGATGAACAATGGTCACTTTATTATAGTTGTAGTTTTGTGCTATGGGTGTAAATCTAGAGCTTGCTGACCTCTCAATTAGCAGCTGAGCATTTAACCACTGCATCACCAGGATTCCTAGAACCTTCAGCAAATCAAATTTGTTGTCATCAAGTCAGTTCCAACTCATGGCAACCCTACAGGACAAAGTAGAACTACCTCATTGGGTTTCCAAGACTGTGACTCTTTAGGAAGCAGGCTGCCACATCTTTCTGACCTTTTGTTAGCAAGCATTTTAACCATTTGCCACGCAGGCTTCACAGAACCTGCTTAAACCCAAGCCCACTGCTGTGGAATCAATTCCAACCTCTAATGGCCCTATGTTGGTGTTGTTGAGTATCAAGTTAGTTCCTATATAGGGTTTCTGAGGAGCAGCTGGTGGGTTTGAACCACCAACCTTTCAGGTAGCAGTTCAGTGCCTATCCTACAGTACCACACCAGAACTCCAGCGATCCTATAGGACAGAGTGAAACTACTCCATAGGGTTTCTGAGTCTGTAAATCTTTACGGAAACAGAATACCTCTTCTTTCTCTCATAGAGTGGCTAGTAGGTTCAAGCTTCTAACCTTTCAGTTACCAGTTCAACACTTAACCCACTATGCCACCAGAGCTCCTTAGAGCCTGCTTGGCTGGTGGTGTGCCATGGAGTCGATTCCGACTCATAGTGACCCTTTTTAGGGTTTCTGAGACCGTAATTTTTCAGGAAGCAGAAAGCCTCATCTTTCTCCCAGAGCATTAAACTGCTGACCTTGCAGTTATCAGTCCAGTGCATAAACCAACCACTACATTGCCAGGGCTCCTTAGATCCTACTTACTGCATGTTTATTTATCTTTTGTTTTTTCCTTATTTATTCTTTAAAAAAACATGTTATTTCTATTTTTAAAGTAATGTACATTAATTGTAGAAAATTTGGGAAATACAGAAAAGTATAAAAAAGAAAATGGTGTAGTGCTGCACGATAAGCGTTGGACTAGTAACCACTAGATCAGCAGTTCAAAACTACCAGCTGTTCCTTGGAAACCCTCTACAGGCTTGCTATGAATTGGAACTAATTCAATGGCACAACAGCAAACACCCATGGATTATAATGATCAATTGTTTTTCGTTCATGTATACGTGTGTATAGATATAAACATATACAGGAAAGCCCAAACCTATATAAACTGGAAACCTCTCAGAGAAGGGAAAGTCAAATGTTTTCTGCTAATAGAGAGCAGTAGGAATGTGGTAACGCTGCACTTTGTCAAAAGCAGAGAACTTGCAAGGCACAGGAAAACAAAACAAACCCATTAATTTCCAACTCTCAGGCTTCACTGTATATAATGAATGTATGTGTAAGGAGTCCTGGTGTGTGGGGTGTGGGAGAATAAGCTCTGGACTGCGAAGTCGTTTTGAACTGCAAGGTCAGCGATTCATACTCACTGGCTGCTTCTCAGAAACCCTATATAAGGTTGCTATGAGTCGTAACTGACTCAGCAGTACTTAACAACAGGTGTAAGGTTATTGTTTTATAAAATTTTGCTTATGCTATATGTAAAAATTAGTATCTTTCATTTTTCCTTTTTGAATATTTGTTGTTAAGTGCTGTTGCGTCAGTTCCGACCCTGTTTAGGGTTCCAAGGAGCTGCTGGTGGGTTTGAACTGCCAACTTTGGAGTTCAAGGCAACCTTGTGATCCAGTGTTTATCCTACAGCGCCACACCAGGACTCCACTTCTAAGGCTGTTGCTAATTCTTTATAACATTTCAAGGAACAACATGTTGTTTTTTCACATCTGTAATGTTGCTGTTGTTAAGTACTGTCGAGTCGATTCTGACTCATCATGACCCTGCATACAGTATCCAAGAAGCATTTGATAGGAAGTAGCAAAAAAATGGACTCCAGGAACTGACAGAGTACAAGTTGAAATCTTTCAATCAACTAGTACAGCAATGGAGGCACTCACTCATCTATGTCAAGAAATTTGGAAGACAGCTACCTGGCCAACCAATTGGAAGATGTCCATATTTGTGCCCATTACAAAGAAAAGTGAACCAACATGATGTGGAAATCATTGAGCAATATAATTATTATCACATGCCAGTATGCTGATGATAATTCAAAAACAGCTTAAACAGTACATCGACAGGGAACTGCCAGAAATTCAAGCGGAATTCAGAAGAGGAACTAGGGGTATCACTACTGACATCAGATGGATCTTGGCTGAAAGCTGAGGACGCCAGAAACTGTTTTATTGACTATGCAAAGGCTTTCAACTGTATGACTCATGACAAGCTTTCGATAACCTTGCTAAGAATGGGTATTCCAGAACAATTGATTGTGCTAATAAGGAACCTGTACATAGACCAAGAAGCAGTCGTTTTAAAAGAACAAGGGAATACTGAATGGTTTAGAATCAAGAAAGGTGTACACCAGGTTTGTATTCTTTTACCCTACTAAAGGAGCTCTGGTAGCATAGTGGTTATGAATCGGGCTGCGAACCTCAAGGTCAGCAGTTCGAAACTACCAGTTGTTCCATGGGAGAAAGATGAGGCTTTTTGCTCCCGTAAAGATTTACAGCCTCGGAAACCCTGTACAGGGTCATATGAGTCTGAACCGACTCCACAGCACATAACAACAACAACAATTCAGTCTGTATGCTGAGCAAATAATCTGAGAAACTGGATTATATGCAGAAATTTGTGGCATTGGGAATGCAGGAAGACTGTGAGATGCACAAGTTACAACCTTGCTTACAAAGAGAACTGAAAATACTTATTGATGAAGATCAAAGACTACAAGCCTTCAGTATGGATTGAACCACAACATAAAGAACACAAAATCCTCACCACTGAACCAATAAATACCATCATGATAAATGGAGAAAAGATTGAAGTTGTCAAACACGTCATTTGTTTGGATCCATCATCAACACTCATAGAAGCTGCTGTCAAGAAATCAAATGATATATTGCATTAGGCAAATCTGCTGCACAAGACCTCTTCAAAGTGTTCAAGAGCAAAGATATGAGTTTGAGGACTAAGGTGCACCGGATCCAAGCCATGGTATTTTCCATAGTCTCATATGCATGTGAAAGTAGGACAGTGAAGAAGGAAGACTGTAGAATTGATGCATTTGAGTTGTGGTGTTGGAGAAGAATATTGAAATTACCATGGACTGTCAGGAGAACAAACAAATCTATGTTGGAAGAATTACAGCCAGAATGCTCCCTAGAAGTCAGGATGGCAAGACTTTGTCTCTCATACTTTGAACATATCAGGAAGGACCAGTCCATGGAGAAGGACATTATACATGGTAAAGTAGAGGGTCAGCAAAAAAGAGGAAGACCCCCCAATGAAATAGCACAGTGGCAGCAGCAGTGGGCTCAAGTGTAATAATAATTGTGAGGCTGGCTGGCACAGAACCAGGCATGTTTCGTTCTGTTGTACATAGGGTCTCTATAAATTGGAACAGACTCAATGGCACCTAGCAACAACGGCAACATGAATCTAATAGCTGAAAACTGGTATCATATGGTTTAAATTTGAATTCTATTGATTATATAAAATTGTGTATCAATTATTTATGTCACTTGCCCAATTTTCTAGGATAGTTAGCCTTTGTTGTTGTTATTGTTAAGAAGTCTACGTATTAAGAATAGTAACCTTTTGCCATAGGTAGAGAGAGATAGATTCATATGACCTTATGTACAACAAAATGAAATGTTGCCTGGTCCTGCGCCATCTCACAATTGCCAGCATGTTCGAGTCCATCATTTTGCTGCTAACCCATCTCAACCAAGGGTCTCTTTTACCCTTATTGACCAACTACACCAAACATGATGTCTTCCATACAATTGATCTCCAGGTAATGTGGCATAAGCAAGCAAACAGGCAATGGTTCATTTTTGAAAGTAGATCACCAGGACGTTTTTCCTTTGTACATTGCACATATTTTTCACAGCTGGACATTTGACTTCCAATGCTGTTCATATGTTGTTATTGTTGTGCATATTTTTAAAATTTGTATACAATTATATTTGTTACTGTTTTTTAG